AAGCAAAATGACATAAGATATTAAGTTTAGAGATTTTGCTTACAACAAGAAACAATCGGCCAGTTGGGTAAAAAAAATCAACATATTTTTCCATTTGAATTAAGTTGTCTTAGCCCATTGGCGGATATTTTTTCCTGCTTTAAACAAAAACTCACTTAATTCGTATTTCTTTTAGAAAACAAGACTTGTCAAGATATTAAAAAAAAACATAAATTATTTTGCTTAGATGTACAGTATCTTGATTTAGATATTTGCACTGGAAAACAAGACAAAATACTAAGCAAGAAAATATTTTTTTTGCAGTGAAAACACATCTGCACGTTCGGTCTGGGCCTGGTTAGCAGCACTGCTAATGCTTAGATCATGTAAGCTGCTTTGCCACATGTTCAGGATTAAGAGTAATAGTGAGTTTACAGGTGCTTCCAGTTAAAATTTTGATACATTAGCTATGAAACTATGAATGTTCCCCATGGCTAAAAATGTTGGCACATTCGAAAAAGCCCATATAAAAAGTGAAGACGTATTGTGTTAAATTGATTTAAAGTGATTTAACATTCGCTTTTCCACTTTGTCACCTGGATCTGTAGGTTTAGATTTGCGCTCGGTGATACAAAACAGGCACAATGGTTCATTAAAATTCACAAAACGTACTTGCACCCCGTCACCCGAACACATGAGCGAAACAGTCGTGTGGAACAATAAACAATCGGAGCGAGGGCAGCTATGCATGTACTATCTGCCAAAGCTTTTCTGCCACAGCTTGAGGCTGATGTGTGATGTTCATATGGCACTAACTATGTTCTTCTGTCAACAAAAGAAAAACCTCCACCCTGTCCCAGCTGAGGGACACGCTGCCGCCAGATCTATGAAACTCCTGGCAAAGATTCCCAAGGATGCCGAGGCCACTGTGGTCTTAGTGGGTAAGCAAAGTAGCGTTTCGTTCCAGCGTTTGTTGTTTTCAGGTCCAGAGATGATGTTGAGTCATCGCACCAGAGTTTTCCAATAATGTCTCAGTCAGCTAAGCGAAGATGAATGCTTTAGGTTGTGTTTGATTTCTGTCACTGGATCCCTATTTGTGTGGTTTGATTTTTTACCGCAATAAATGTGTTTATAGGGTGTGTGGAGTTCTTAGAGAAGCCTGCGATGGCCTTTGTCCGGCTCAACGAGGCTGTGCTGCTGGAGTCCGTTCTGGAAGTCCCCGTTCCCGTTCGGTTCATCTTTGTGCTGCTGGGCCCCACGCAGACCAACATGGACTATCATGAGATTGGACGCTCCTTCTCCACCCTCATGTCCGATAAGGTTCATCTTACATGCAATATATATCACGGTTTGTAGATTATTAGGGCCAAGTAACAAATATGTGAAGAGACCAATTCTATCTCATAGTTTTCTGCTGTTTAGTCTCTTTTTCAGAAAATTTTGGGGTCAGTTTTTCTGAAATCTTATAACGCAGTGGTTCTCAACCTTTTTGAGCCCAAGGCTGGCCATTGTCCACAACAATATTCGAGGCCCCATGACTTTTCCATTTGTTCGTTAGGTCACACTTTATTTTAAGGTCCAATTCTCGCTATTACCAAACCATTAACTACGACTTTTGCCTCAGTAAACTCCTAATTTGCTGCTTATTAATAGTTAGTAAGGTAGTTGTTAAGTTTAGGTATTGATTAGGATTGGGGATGTAGAATATGGTCGAAAATAATAGTATATTCTTCTGTTTATTTTATAATTTTTGTTTTCAATATTATGTTTCTGGACTATGTGTTTAATATTTAACATGGTATCTCTTTAAGAGAATAGGATGGCGATATTTAGAAGATATAGTATAGTATTTAAGCCTATAGGGGGCATAACTTCCTTTGTGATCCGGTGTGGAAGCTGACACAGATTTTCACCAAACAATGGAATTTATACAGCCAATATGTTATTAATAGGCATGCTAATAAACAACTAATAGTGAGAATTGGTCCCTATACTAAAGTGCTACCGTTCGTTATTTACTTGATTATTCGTTATTTACTAGAGTTTTAAAAAATATTTTTCACTCACAATTTCTACCTGATAAATTATTTCATATTAAAGTAACTTGGCATAAAATATATAAAAATACCCAAGTGGTGGTGCATGTAAATAAGAAATATCTTGATTTTTAGCTGTTGCTTTGTCCTGTGAAAAATATCTCGGCTCATTGGTTGCGAACCACTGTTACAGTGCCAAAAATGGCTCAACATTGTATTTTTGTTTTTGCTTTTTCTTATGATTCACTGGGTCATGGTGTTCAGTTCAGACTCGATCTTTTGCCATTTTGGATTTTAACAAATAATATTTTTACTAACACCTATAAATTTTATCCAATCTTCTCCAGAATAGTGACAGATGATATTGAGACCAAGCCACACAATCTCAGAATGGATTTTTTTTTCTCATTGTTCTGTAAACCTGTAATGAATTGTGGTGGGACTGGCCAACAGGAATGGATGATATACAGTATATCTCTGCAGTGCTTAGGCCAGAGGTGCTCATTCCTGTTACTTTAGATCTACCTTCCTGCAAAGTTCACCAAACACACCTAAACCAGTTAATTAGGTTCTCCAGGAACATAAATGAGCACCCTGGGCTTAGGCAAATTTGGGGGGAAAACTAGAGTATCAGTGCTATCATGTCCTAAGAGTTCGTAGTTCTTGTTTCATTACATAACAAATGAAATCCAAATGTCTTGGCTTGAAATTACACTTCTGGTTTGGAGTCAGTTTGGAGTCACGTTTTGCCTTATTACCTGTCCACCATTTTGAATTTGATTGAAAACAATTTTTCATTGGTACTTCTGCAAATTTTGCCCAATCTTCAAAGTTGGGTCAGATGATCTCCAGACCAAACCACACAAAGGTCACTGAATGGATTTTTGATCTTCTTTCCCATTCTCCAATAAATCTGTAAGGAATTTTATGGCAAAGTCGCAAAGTAAAATGTACGTGTATTTCTCTAATTTGGCAAACTGAAACAAAACTTTGTCGGTATCAGTGGCATTATATCCTAAAAGTGCTTTTAATCAGTTTTATGAAAAAAAAAAAAGTAACTTCAAAATGACCAAAATTATGATTCTGGTTTGCTTATATTCTTCCATTCTAAGTTGTCAAGTTTCAACTTATGACCTTAATTTAATTTAATTTAATTTAATTTAATTTAATTTAATTTAATTTAATTTAATTTAATTTAATTTAATTTAATTTAATTTAATTTAATTTAATTTAATTTAATTTAATTTAATTTAATTTAATTTAATTTAATTTAATTTAATTTAATTTAATTTAATTTAATTTAATTTAATTTAATTTAATTTAATTTAATTTAATTTAAT